TGAGCGCCGCCCCGTGGTGTGGCCTGGATGCAGTTGAAATAACTCATTTGAAAAAAAAAGAAAAGATTATTATAATAATTATGTAAACGAATTGATTTGATTCAACTGCAACGAACGCTCTTTTTTCTCGCAATCGGGAGATGACAACGATCAATATTCGTACTTTTGCCCAGAGCATATCACATATATGTATATCTATAATGCCCACATCTCTTGTCAAAAGCTTCTGTATTGCGACAATGTGGGCCTTGGTTTTTTAGTCCCCTACCGGCTTACCGGAGGGGACTTTAGGTCTGTGTGTCCGTCTGTCAGTCCACTAAACTGGATCCCGTGATAACGCAAAAAAGACTGAAAATATTTTTATGAAACTTGATATATGGATAGATGGCAGTATGGAGATTATGCACGTCTCTTTCTTTTCTTCCTATAATGAAAATTCTGGTTGCTATGGCAACAAATAGACTGAAAATATGGCAAATTTTACACATAAACTGGATGCAGTGATAACGCAAAAGTACTAAAAATATTTTTATGAAACTTGAAATATGGGTAGATGACAGTCTTGAAATTATGCACATCTTATTTTTTTCTTCCTATATTGAAACTTTTGGTTGCGATGACAACAAATAGACTGAAAATATGGCAAATTTAACACATAAACTGGATCTAGTGATAATGCAATGGAGTTGAATAGACTGGAGAAGCAACTTGTGACGTCACACAGTTAAATTCAGCATAGATGCAAAGCGTTTCTCGTAAGTTATCATATGTCGCGGGATTTTCCGAGATTTGATGCATCCTGAGAAAAAGTAGTCGTAATACCGCCATATTGATTTAACGGCGATACACCGACGATAAAAGCGGATCATTTTCTTCTAATATATGAAGCAATAGTTAACGATGAAGTTAAAGGTGGGTAGAAATTGGTTGTAAAGAAAGTTTGGATAAGTCATGTTCACGGTAGGGAATCACGTGACTTTTACGGTAACGCGTACAGACAATATGGCTGCCTGAGCACGCCGATTCACATACGTTTTTCAGGTAATTCTTTATTATATCCCTTATACTTACATATGAGACCTGCTGCAGCCTACGCGGAATAAAGAATTGTTGTCGCCTATACCTTAGTTTCCATCCCTGCGCTTTTTGTTTTTGCAAACACTCAAATATTCATCAGGAATTTTCAATGTTGACAATTATTTTTTGGGTAACATTCACGCAAAATTTGTATTTTTTTAAGAAATTGGTGAAACAGAGTCCCGGTATTATGGGAAAATGTCCATGGTGTTTCTTTGTATGATAATACAATATGTTGGCTCGATAAATTTCTACGTACAACTTTCTTTCATTGAAAAAAAAAGCAAAATGATTTTGATAACCCCCACGGCATCAAATATTTACTGGTAACTCCCACGCAAAATAGTATCTTTCTCTAACGTTTTGCTATAATTTACTTAAATCCCCCTTACAATTTGTGTACAAAGAATTAATGCTACTGTATAAAACAAAATACTTTAAATATATCGGCTGTAAAGGTCCACTTTATAAAATACATTATTCTGTTGTAATTAGTAGATCTTAAGCAAAACAAACTTAGAATCGAGTTCTCTCTTAATAATGAACCACAGTTCAGTGTAACTAAAACTGCAACTTGAAATAACTTCCATGTGCAAGTCCAGATAATCTGTCAGAAATATGGTGCATTTAGAAGTACATTATTTCACTAATGTGACATTTTTGTGTTTATTTCAGAAAAATGACGAAGAAAAAGTCTCGCCTGACATTACAGACGACAAAAAGTCATTTTAAAAGAAGGCTTACACAGTATGAAACACGCGCTACAAATCCGTGTCTAAACAATAATTTAAGATATCTAAATTCACCTATGAAATCGCCCTACAAATCTCCGTTATATAAACCTAAAGATTCGCCTGCAAGAAAGAAAATTAAGATAAATTCAGCTAGAAAATTATTTGACTCTACATGTTTAACGCATAATAAAGGAGCCTCAAATGAGTATGACGATATGATATTTCAACGTACCTGTTCTGAAAATGGTGACGAGAAAATCGGTATGAAAACATGGAACACATCTGACCTATTTAATAGTGAAGTAATAAATGAGACAAAATCGGCTGACGATGGCATAACTCAAAAATTACAACACATTCTTCCTAATGTAGTAGAAACATTAGCCAAGGCAAATAGGCTTGATTTGACTTTGTTGAAGTTCTTCGAACAAGTTAATGATGGTCGTTTTCCCCTGGACAATATTGCATTCCTTCTTTGGACTGAGGTAGTTAAGTGGTTTGACAATGAAACTTCAATTAAGATGCGTTACTCAAGCGAAACAAAAACATTTTGGAAGCTTGGTTGGAGACTTTTTGGTGGACGATTTGTAAACTTTATGAGTGGATATAAGAGTCATGGCGACAATGTCTTAAAAATGTCCACGAAGGGTAATTACTCTCCTGAATCATCAGAAATAAATTTTGCTGTTCCTGATGAAAAAGTTTTGAGGACATTCAATCCATACGGAATAACCGGAGAACGAAAGCCTGGTAAATATACAGACATCATGGATGTTTTGGCAAATAATCTTGAAGGAAAATCAGCATGTATAACATTTGATGGAAAAACATTAAAACAAGGTTTAACTGAAGACTCCGGAGATGTAGACTTATTAGGTTTTGAAAATGGTTTAACACTTCATGAAAGACACAAAACATTTAAACAAAACGCTGATGAATTCACTGAAATGGAAATGTATTTAAACACACTGGACGAAAATATGTCTTTATTAGATCTAATAACAGATTATAGGAAAACAGAACTAATCGCTCTGCTACGCAAAGCTCTAAAATTAATAACAAACCAAATAATTGAAGTCAAAACTATAAAGCAAAAGAAAGAATATTGTAAAGAGAAACTCATCGAAAGGGGTGGACATAGTGACTGGAGAAAAGGAAAGTATGTATATGCTATAAGTGCAATTATTGGATTCGTTTATGATATTGATCAGTATATTCAAGATGCTATAAAGTTGACAGAACAAATTTGTCGAATTATAGCTTACATAAACAAGTGCTCTTACAATGTTGGAGAAACGGTGAATTTGTTGAACCATAATCGTTATTACGATATAGACCATCAAATTGGACCAAAGGAAAATTGCAGGTTTCTGAAACAAAGATCTGAAGAGTGGTTTAAAATACACAAACAAGCAAAAGTTACTGGGAGCACATTTTATGAAGCAGTTGGCTGTGATGGTTTGAACAAGGAAAAGGATCATTTTGAAAACGTAGTTTGCGGAATTGCTAAAAAAGATCCATCGGAATTTGCAAGAAAAGCCATGGAACATGGTGCTGAAAACGAAATTAATGCAGTGGCAACAATAGTAGGGCACATTATACCTGTATTGGAGCCTAATTTGGTATTTTGCGAGGAAGGATGTGTTGATATAAAAACCGAAGATGACTCAATGTTTATGGTTGTTTCACCAGATGGTAGCTTAAGAAAGGATAATCAACTTAATTCAACAACAATGGCTATCGAAATTAAATGTCCGGTAAATAAAATTCATACTGAGTTTCCTTGTCGTTATTTTCTTCAATGTCAGTCAGAAATTGAAGCTCTTAAGACAGAATCTCTTCTATATATTTGTTGGACAAAAGAAGAAACTATTGTTTTTGAAGTAAAACGACACGAACAACTCTTCCAGAAAGCTCTAAAGATAGCGTTAGAAGTGTATGGAGAAAAAAAGCCGAACAAACCAACAAAATTAAATGAAGGTCAGAAAACTCTTAAACAAGAAATTGTAAAAGAAAGTAAAGCAATTCCTATTGTTGGAAGATTCAAATCGTGTGAGGCAGGCAGCAGTAAAAACGAATATGATACAAAAAATTGGTCTGTACTTGAATGTGTAGAATTATTAAACAAAGTGCAAAATAATTTCAAGATTCACTTTAAACTTAAAAGGGAGCGTGCATCTGAAGCAGTTGTTTTCCTGGTTGCCGACCTAAACAGGAGTTGGGAAAGAGAAAAGATACGATGTTCTCCAGTGGCTTGGTTTCCAAAAGGATATAGTTTAAATGCAGAAACAATGAGGATGATAGCAGACGATATACATAGTGAATGTCACTCTCACGGAATTCACATACCATGTGAGTCTTTCGATGGACAATGGCATTCACTTGTTACGAGATCTGCAGATAGTAAGCCATTGACACTGTATCAACTGCAAAGAGATGTTTGGAAAGAAGTTGAACAAATGAGCAAAACAAGCATAATATCAGAAATAAAAAATCTCAACAAAAATGCACAATGGAAGCCAATAATTGTCGAGTGCTGTAACAAAAAGAACAGCATTGTCAAAAAAATTGAAACAATCTTATCTGAAGAAAAATTACCTGTTTTTCACCATGTTAGCCCTACTTTACAGGATGACTCATCAGCAGATGTTACAGAATTGGTGACAACGACCGTGACTTTGGCAGACGTAGTTCCAAATACAGTGATAGAAAATTGTGGAGAAGTTTTAAAAATGACTGAAATAAATGATGAAATAGAAATAGATGTGTTTTCTGCGAACATAAATGTGGATGAATGGGAAAACGATATTCAACAAATTCAAAACGACATAGAAGATCATATTCAAATTGATGAAAAAAATGATGAAAGCAATTTAATTGCAATGACCAGTGAAACTGTACTTCCTCATGAAGATCTCAAAAGCAAAACTGAAGCTAAAGTATTAAATCTTTCATGTGAAGACATGAAATATATCCTTGCTTTGTTTAAATCATCAATTAACTGGAATAAAAACGGAAAGTGGGATGATACATCGCCAGATAATCTATTTCAGTATTTCACTTCAATAGAAAAATTGAATACTTTCTTAGATGTTGAAATACGCTCAATAGTAAGATATTTAAGGAAAACAAAAGGGATCACAAGTATAAAGGAATCCAGTCCTAAATATGTGAAGGTAAATGCTTTGGCTCAAGCGTTGTCATTAGAAGAGATCATTACTCCAAAAAGGATTGTAAGAAAACAAAGCAATAGAATGAAGACACTCGCTGAATTAGCAATTAAAGTCATCACAAAATATTCGAAAAGAGATTTAAATATTATATATGCAGAATATATTTGGGCTGATCGTGAGAAGGCTTGGATATCGCCTGTCAAGGATATAACGGTTAATGGTGAAAAGTACGAATGGTTTTACAAACCGGAATATAGTATTCGACAACAAATGGAAGTAAAATGTATCGATTCTACTCATCTTTTGACAAGGACACGTAGAAAATGTTGTAAAGGTGGTCTTGAAGGTTTATCTAATGAAGGATGGCTGAAGGTTGCAAGATCAAAGAAAACGCTGTTAACACCAATCATGGTAGAAGAAATAACTGACCCTATGTCTGTGTCAATGGCTAAGACACATTTTTCAGCAGAAGTCGAGGAAGAGCTTAGATTTCATAGTGAAATAGCTAGCGCTGATTTGTGTAAGGATATACGCCAGTGGTGGGAATCTGAAGACAAGGCCGGCATTCCTGCATCCACTAGAGTTGAAATGAGACTGTCACTGAGAAAACGTTTATTGCAGAAAGTTGATTTCTGTAAATTTCCACCAGTTACTATGTATGCAGGAGGATGGCCAATGCAATTGTGGGAAGCAATCTTAGCTAACATTGATGCCAAATGTTTTCTGTATTCTCTCAGTCATGGAGGTACATATAATGTTCGTGCCTTCAGCAGCATGATAGGCGAAACATTCTTTTCCGAACTTACATTAAATGATAAAAGGGGACAAGGAGCTGTAACTTGTAAAGAATTTGGACAGTTTATTGGAAACACCGTCGAACAAATGCAAATTCGATTAGACCCTGAAAGGTACAATCAAATTACATTTATTTCAATGACTAGTAGTGTTAGACTTAAAAAAGGGAAACACCCTTGATAGTTAAGGTTTTCTCAAATCCTAAAATCTGTGCGATCATTTTCTCTGTAAACAGTTACTAGTTATCTTTTTTTTTAATTTGGGACGTTTCTTAAGGACGATTTCCGATTTCTGTTACATAACAATAAATTAGTAGTGTTAACAAAAAATATCATGCAACTACAAAATGTAACATACATGTGCACATACAACATACATTTATGGAATGAAATTTGATACACGTTTAAAGATTTCTTTTTTATTAATAATTTCCTTACGCGCAGACAGACAGATAATACATTTTGTTGACGAAAATCATACAGCTTTTCACAATACCTTTTACATAAACATTGAACATAAATTTGACACACGTTTTTTTGCAAACATGCTTAACAATTAACATCTATATAGCATTGTTTGTGGGGATGGCAATTCAATTTCATATGCAAACTTAAAGATCCTGTATGTTGTAATTTTGGTTGTATACCACACTTAAGTGAAATTATATATATGTATATAATTATATGCTTATAAAACAATTTTCAAACATCGAAAAATATGTACATATATGTGATCATTAAAATATATGCATTCATTTCTTATTGAAAAATTTGACTTAGAATTTATAGAAAATAATTCTTATTACCTCCTTTTATTTACATGAACTGACTGTAAATTCGGTAATATCTTTATACAGAATGCTTTTCGGAACTTACAAAATTGTTAAATATTAATTTGAGCATCATATTTATGATATAAAACCATAAAAAAGTGTGTTACAGGATCTTTAAGCATGTTTTAATTTATCAAAGCAAAAAATTTCATTGTAAAATTCACTGTTGATGACCTTTTCTTAGAATTTATTAGAATAATTTGATTACCACTCTGAATTGGTAGAAGTATAATTTATATTTTTTTTAAAGATTATTGCTTATCTTGAATAATGGTAAAAGAGTGTTGTTTTATCTTTGGTAGAAAATTTGCGTATTGCACGAAAAAGTCTACAGTTTATGATATTGTTGAGGAGACACATGATGCTTGTAATGACAAAAAAGACTGTCCAGTCTGCTACGAAGATCGTCATAAACTACCTACAGATATAAAACCAAAGTAAGTTAAGTTATATTTCATTAACTATATATTAAATTGTCATGAAAATGATCAGCCGTGATCCGATTTTTACAATTAGAAAGTAAATCTAAAGACGACTTCATAACTTGTTGCTATCTATGAAATGTGATTTGTAATTTGTTATGCGATTTGAATGAATTGACAAATTTCACCTATCAACAATTTCTTTTCTTAAAGAGACCATCCCTTTGATACGGAGGCTAGGAGAAGATTACCCGGGAGACGAAAAGAGGGTACGATATCAACAGATCGTACTGCCTTGCAGAAAGGGGCACTTGGTGTACGATGGGAAACCGCGAGGTGTAATTTGTCCAAGCAACTTCCAACGAAATTGATGGGCCTACCTGAGGACAAGTTTAATTGAATTGCTATTCAAACAAACAGCAACGTTTTTAAGAACACTTTCTTTTTACGTTGTTGAGTTATTCCGACAATTTATCAATACTGAATACCATTGTTTAATGTGCATCTAGTTGTATGTAATATAGTAAAACAAAACTTATATTTTATTAATTGTTTTATTAGAATATCATTATTTATATAATTATCAAAAAATATCACAGTAATCATTGGAAATCACATAATGTAATCACAAGAGCTTTTCATAACATATCATTAAAAACATTTGTACAACTTAAAATTGGTTATATAAAGTTGAACCCACTAGGTATCATATTCTTATTAGAAAATAAGCAAGAGAAACATTCGTTAAAAGCAAACAGAATTACAAATATTCCGAAGAATACGTTTACTTAAAGTAATATGTACTATAAATGAAAATTAAATATGTATTTAAAGACTTATTTTTTTGTGTCATTTTTTTTACAAATTATCCATAACTTTTAAGAAAATAACAATGTTTTGTCACAGAGACAAAATGAGTAGAGAACCGGATGTTGAAATTATACCACAGGATCATAATGGTTTTTTCCACTTAAACTATAAATATGTATAAATATAAACACTGTTAGACAAGGTTCAAAGTTTTATGAAAATACCTGTCACTACTTATAACTAACATGTGGGTCTTTCGTGAAAGTGAAAGTTCATTCAATATCAAAGGTTTATATACATGTAATACTGTATTTGTACTGTTTTTGTGCATGTGTGTTATATTTGTGAATGCTAGAGCTTGAAAATTCAAAAAGTATGTCACTACATTAAAGACACATTCACTTTAAACAGCAGTTTTTTTTTTTCTTCCAAACGTAAATGTACAATGAATTTAAATATAATGCCAGTGTTTCCAAACAGCGCCTTGATAAGGGCATATCTTTATCTATATAGGATGATGTTATGACGAAACTTTGCAAATTATAAACAAAGAGATTTGTACTAGTTACAATACATGTTTATTGAAAATAATGGGGCCAATTCCATCTGGAGTTTAATTTCTACAAAGTTCGTTACTAACGAATTAAAATGTTATAATTCAAATATCAAGCAACTTGACCGAATGGTTTATACATGTGGTTTTTGAATATTTATAGTTTCTTTATAAGAAGAAACAACAGATAATGATACAAGCTAAATGTCTGTTGTTCACCTGTCGGATTTGTACATTTTTTATTCCATGACCTGCAGGGAAGTGTCCATGGATTTGAAGAATTTTGAGAGACCTTCATGCAAAAAACATCATTTTCATCTTTCATCAAGTTTGACGCTGTTGTTTCGGGGAAGCTGTTTATTTGACAAATTCAATACCGACGATAGTGTGATCACAAAAAACTATATACTAGTAACTTTGTGCCCTTGTGGACCAGAAATAAAAACTGTCAAATCAAATGAATTTGGTAAATTACAAAAAAAACAACAACTTTGAAATGATGAAGCAGAGCTTATCTGTTTTTTCTGTCGTTTTGTTTACGATAAAGTGAGATATTAAAAAAATAATCAGGGTTGCACTGCCTCATATGTACCTCTGTTTTTTGTGAAGTGTTATTATAAAAAATAAAATCCTTAAATATTGTTCAAGTTATATTCAGAACGAAAACAGAAGGACGGACAATGCGACGACTATTTGCTAAAAATATATAAATGTCACTTTCAAAGGAAATAAAATTAATCACATATTATCATGCCATGATAAACCAATAATCTTGAAACCGAAATAACACTACAAACGAGTGTTAACTAGGATTGCAAAAATGGTATTTATAGAAATAGCCGGCATTATAGCTTCAATAAAAATCATGAAAAATCAAGATTGATAAAAACTTAAAACTGTTCAAGTTTTGCTACACTTGCTTTTGTGTCTGCACAAACCAGACCTGTACCTATACGCTTTTCCACAATCACATCTATGAGATTTAACATCCGTGTGAGAATCCATATGATCTTTAAGATCTTGTTTATTGATGTAAGCTCCTCCACAGACATCACACTTAAACTCTGGCGGGTCATGCTTCTTCAAATCACATTTCGTTGCACATGAATAACTACATAGATGGCATTTTTCAGTCTTTTCTTCGTTATGAACTGAACATCTGAAAAAATAGAAAAAAAAAACAAAATTAAATCAGAACATGTCTTAAAGTTTTCAAACTTTCAATGATATTGTTCAGGACTATTAAATGATTTTAAGGGGCAATTTCATAAAAGACAATGCCATAATTAAAAATACATGTACTGTAAGTGCCCCTTTCATAATAACTTATTAGTTTAGTTGATGATTGATTACATGATTATTGTGCAAAGAAATGTTTTCTTAATTAGTACGCGAAATATAGTCATGGGATGCCTAAGTTTTAGCCTGTCCAAGTATTATACTAAGTACCATCAACATATTTGAAATACGAAGGAAAATGAAAAGCACTTATGTTTACAAATATTATTTTGTTTGTTGTATCGCCAAAATAAAATGTACCGTTTTCGTGAAAAATTACAAAGACAGATTAAAAGTCTGAGCCAGGAGAGCGGGGGATTAGATAAGTCTGAGTCCAAGCACACTATTTTTTCATGAATGTATACGTCATGTTCACTATTTCCGCGTTTTTATTCAGATGTTATTCATGATACTCAAAATGACAGTCAAGTTTTGATAATGAAATTACCGGGGCTGTAATGGCAGCAAGTTATTTTTACACCGCGCCCTGGTTCAACCATATAACCAACGTGCAAAAAAAAAAACCACAAAAAAACGGCGATGTCTCAAAACAGTATGTGTTTTCTTTTTATTGAATTAAAATTTACATGCTTCTATAATTGTTTAAATCTAATGTTCACGTATAAGATATTTTTATTGTTCCACTGAAATGGCGGATTTAGAATATCAACACACTATGTGTCCAACAATTAAATAATTTCTTTTAAAATGTGTGTATTTAACGTATTTTTTTTGTTTTTTTAATCTTTTCAAGCCAAAAAGAAAACGACCTACAGAATATCAGAATGGGTCTTTAATTCAAAAACTAAGTAATAAAATCTGGAGGACTTATATTTGAATGCCAATAAAATTTTGATATAAACAGAAAAACGCCATACCTGTGACGTTTGAGATTGGCACGACTATAAAACGTTTTTCCACAACACTTATATGGTCCTTGGCCTAGGTGCCTTTTTGTATGGTCATACAGGTTCGTCCGTGACCGAAAGGCTTTACCACATTTGTCGCACACAATATTTGTGCTTGAACCTTCCATATCTGCAAAAAATGAAAAATGACAACTGTAATTATGTTAAACTGAAATACTAAACCTTCTACTAATATTTAAGACTTTGATTTTAATTTCTGCGATAAGTTCATCTATATCGATACTTCATTTAATCTATTCACGTAAGTATATATATTCTGCTACCTTTTGGTGTTAATTCTATTTAAGACACTTTGGCAGTATTTATAATATTATTCAAAATCCTATCAAAGTTTAAGACTAAACGCATCAATCATGATTTTATAAGATCAATATTTAGGTCCTAACTTGCAAAGATATTGCTTGCATATGATATATTGCGTGGGAGTTATCAACAAAATAAAATTATGTGTCTGTTACCCAAATCATTTTTCTCTTTTGTACTTGAAAAGAAAATGACCAGTCAACATTGAACATGCCTAATATTTACATTTTCGAATAAAGAAACTCTATGACATTTTTCTCTTTGCTTACTCGACCTTGTTTAATTAATTTCTTAAAAAATACAAATTTTGCGTGAATGTTACCCAAAAAATAATTGTCAACATTGAAAATTCCTGATGAATATTTGAGTGTTTGCAAAAACAAAAAGCGCAGGGATGGAAACTAAGGTATAGGCGACAACAATTCTTTATTCCGCGAAGGCTGCAGCAGGTCTCATATGTAAGTATAAGGGATATAATAAAGAATTACCTGAAAAACGTATGTGAATCGGCGTGCTCAGGCAGCCATATTGTCTGTACGCGTTACCGTAAAAGTCACGTGATTCCCTACCGTGATGTTAGCTTGTTTTGAAGGAATTGAGTATTTTTTAGGAGAAAATCTTTTTGGAAAAATACTGTGCCGAACAGCGGTATATTGACAATCCTGCGAGAGTGGTCAATTTTAATTTGTTAAGGATCTTTAACTGTTAGATCAATACGTATAATTCTTGCATTTTTGTGTCGCCTCTACGGAGTAGTGGCGACATATAGTGATCACTTCTCCGTCGTCTGTCTGTCCGTCACAAAACTTGTCCGGACTACTCCTCATAAACTACTGGTGCAATTTCATCCAAACTTTACAGGAATGATCAGTATCAAGTCTAGTTGTGCATATTGTCAGCATTTTCTGGTTCAATGATTTTTGTCAGAGTTATGGCCCTTTAATAATTTTTATTTTTAAAGTTTGTCCGGACTACTTCTCTTATACCACTAATGCAATTTCAATGAAACTTTACAGGATTGATCTGTAGCTCAAGTCCTTGCGCATATTGCACGGGTTTTCCGGTTGAATGATTTTTGGCCGAGTTATGGCCCTTTGATAAAAAGGTGTTTTTTTCTGTGTGTTGCCAGATACACAAAAGCTTGTCCGGACTACTCCTCATAAACTACTGGTGCAATTTTATCCAAACTTTACAGGAATGATCAGTACCAAGTTTAGTTGTGCACTGTCTGTCACAAAACTTGTCCCAACATAAAATTGGCCATCATGAGGCGACACATGTGATTACTGATCGCTCTTGTCTTATGTATTAAGGATTTCTTAATTGAAAATGATGTTTATTTAACTTCGTTTTTTGTTTTGATGTGAGTTTTTTCGAGTTTTGAAGCGTATTTTCTAGTCTGAACAGAGTTTAATACAGTATTTTCGGACATGTTTTTTTCGGACAATTATAAGGTATTATCTGTTCATGGCCATGGTTTATTTTCCTCGTCATTTTTATGCCACCGCACCATCTGCGATGCGGTGGCATATAGCGATTCACCTGTGTTTGTGTGTGTGTGTGTGTGTGTGTGTGTGTTTGTGTGTGTGTTATATAGATTATATAATGAACTTAAAAAATCTTCTTGTGAAAAACCACTAGTCCAATTTCAACCAAACTTGGCAGGATTGTTCCTTGGGTGAATGGCTTCCAAAGTTGTTCAAAGAATTTCATTCCATGCAGAAATCTGGTTGCCATGGCAACCAAAAGGAATTATAAAAATGAATTTAAAAAATCTTCTTGTAAAGACCCAAAAGGCCTAGAGCTTAGATATTTTGCATAAGGCATTGTCTGGTTGACCTCTAACAAGATTGTTCAAATTATAGCCATGGGGTCAAAATTGGCCCCGCCCCGGGGGTCATTGATTTTCACTATGTAAATATAGTAAAAACTTAAAATACCTTCTTGTAAAAACCCAAAAGGCCTAGAGCTTAGATATTTTGCATAAGGCATTATCTGGTAGACCCTTACCAAGATTGTTCAAATTATAGCCCTTGGGTCAAAATCGGCCCCGCCCCTGGGTCATCGATTTTCGCTATATGTACATATAGTAAAAACTAAAAACACCTTCTTGTAAAGACCCAAAAGGCTTAGAGCTTAGATATTTTGCATAAGGCATTGTCTGGTAGACCTCTACCCAGATTGTTCAAATTATAGCCCTGGGGTCAAAATCGGCCCGCCCCAGGGGTCATTGGTTTTCCTTATATTTATACAGTAAAATCTTTAAAAAAATTCTTCTAGCAATTGACAAATGCTAAAGGTTAGATATTTTGCATGAAACAGTGTGTTGTAAAACTCTAGCAAGATTGTTCAAATTATAGCCCTGGGGTCAAAATTGCCCCCGCCCTGGGGGTCATTGATTTCAATATATACATATAGTAAAAAAATCAAAAAAATCTTATTGTCTGAAGGTACAAGACTTAGAGCTTTAATATTTTTTAAATAATATCATCTAAAGGTACTCTACCAAAGTTGTTCAAATTTTGCCTCTTGTGTCAAAATTAGCCCCGCCCCTGGGAGCCATAGGTTTATCCTATATGTATATAGTGAAAACTTAAAAAATCATCTTCTCTAAATTTACAAAGGATAAAGTTAATATATTAAACATTGTGTTGTGAACCTCTAGCAAGATTGTTCAAATTATAGCCCTGAGGTCAAAATTGGTTCCGCCACGGGGGTCATTGATTTTCATTATGTACATATAGTGAAAAAAAAAATTTGTCTGAAGGTTCAAGGCATAGAGCTTTGATGTTTGATATATAATATCATCTATAGGTCCTCGACCAAAGTTGTTCAAATGTCAAAAATTGGCCCTGCCCGGGGGCAGTGATTCTCATTATGTACAGGTAGTAAAAACAGAAAATAAAACAAATGTTTTCTGAATGGGAGAAAGCTATAGCTTAGATATTTGACTTGAAATGTTGTTTGGTGGACCTGTATCAAGATTGTTATTAAACCCTTGGGTCAAAATTATGCCTTGCCCAAGTGGACAGTGACCTACTTTCTTGTCCTGATGTACAGCAATGACATTTTGACCATGTGCACAGTTTTAGTTGTAAAATTGAACTTTGACCTAGATTTTGATGATGTGACCTACTTTCTTGTCCTTTGATGTACAGCTATGAAATTTGAACCATGCGGTGGCATAGCATTTTTCTCAAATGCAATCTTGTTTGAACTTGGAGCTCTCAAAATTATTAAAATGCTTCATTGTTAACAACAATTTATGTTTAAGTAATTAAAAAAACGTTGATGTTTTGGTTTTTTGGCAATCAAAAAAAAAAAGTTCTTCTTCTGGGTGCCCTACTTGGGTGTGTTGGAGGTTGTGTCTTGTGTACGTTACCTTATATATAATACACTAAAGAAAGCAAAATGAACCAGATATATACTCCTGCTTTAGACCTGGGTGTGTGTAAGTGTTCCAGGATGTAGCTGGTTTTTTGTGTTTGTTGTTTGTTTTTCAATTATTGTCTAGGGCGATCTATCAATTGGAAGTGGTAGCTTTAGATGCAGAATAAATCAATGATAAAATTATTATTGCATGGGTAAGGGCGTCTTTTGATGTAAAAGAAAGGTAGTGAATACACGAAACTAGTACTGTAGTAGGTTTTAAATAAAGAAATGATTTTTAAATTGTTACGATGTTGTCGTGTGTTCCTCTCATTATATTTATTGTTGTTAGGAACACTGTAATTTATTTATTTCGAAAAGAATCGGTTACTGCTGCTGTATTTACTATCTGAATTGTAACAGAAGTAGTTAATTAATATTTTAGTTTAATTACTTGGATTCTTGTGCACTATTATTTTAGAATTAATGTCATTTGCATCAATTTAATATTGCGTCAGGTTGTAATTGGGGTTATTACTAAAGTATTAAATACTGCGATATCAAAAGTGGTTTTTTCTAAATATATAAATTAGCCTGAAAAGTGTCACCGCCAATTTTATATAAAGTTCAGTAAAGCTCATAAGCTATATAGGCACATTACTGTTATAAATAATAGTTAATTAAACTTGATTCCAAAGTTTGAATAAATAATTTTATAATAATTTGTAAAAAATCAACTGGTAAAGTAGCCATAAGAAAAATTATATATATATAACAGCTAGCCCGTGCATGTTACAGTATTAAATACAAAATCATTTATAAATTGTATAAACTTGAAAGTCAAATTTTATCTTCCAACTTAAGATATCTCCAACCAATTTTGCACATTCAGTCATTTACTTTTTCAAGGATTTCAGTCCTCCTCTTAAACTCACTGATTTTGTTTTCGAGAATTTAAGTTGCTTCCTTACAAGTCTAGTTGTGGCGAACCCTCTTACTCTGAGGAACAGATTTACAATATCTTCCGCAATTCCTTCAAAATTTGATGTAACATTTTGAAAGAGTTTTTCACAGTAGTATTTAAACATGAAACTAGACATGATGTTCTCTATATGTTTGTCTTTTAATAACGACTTTGCATTCAAATTCTCTTTATCTACTTCTCTCCTTATTACAGTCTCCATTTCTCTAATCAATAGGAAGCAATTATCATTTGGATGTTGTAATCCTCCTCTTGATATTTTTGAAGTCCATTTGGAATATTTGACACTTGTGCTTTGGCTACCTGATCTTGATAACATTTTGTACTTCTGTACATTTTATCTTCATTTCTCTTTTTTCAATATTTTTGATTTTAAGGTATTATTTTTTTATCGCTTTTGGTATATATCCAGAAATGTAATAAAGAATTCCCTGATCATTTTCACTGATTTCATTGCTCTTTGATGATTTTTCTTTTTCTAGTTTGGTTTTAAACTTGACAATATGGCCTATTATCTCTAAAGTAAAAATATGAAAAAAATCCATCACTGCTGGCTTTAAAAAGTAAGAAGGCTACAAAGTTTCTCCTTAAACTATTCGTTTAACCTTAAATCATGTAATGTTTTGAACATTTTTTCTCTATCTTGACTCAATGAAATATTTGAATCAGTCACTACACTACACATTTCTGAGAAAAACAGTTCTTCCACATCCTTCCTTCTCTTTGTTGCTTGACATACGCTCAAGATATCTTTGTCCATTAGAGTCATTGGATCTTTCTCTATACTGTCAATGCAAGATTGAAAGGCTTCTGAAAAGTCTGTGGGCGTTAGTGTTACGCTGTGTCTTTTTGTACTCATGTGCCTTGTTTCTCCAGCTTTGCATTCTGAAGCTGCAATACACATAAACAATATTCAGAATTGTTTGAATTAATTTTTTATAACGTTTAATATGATATAGATAGTATATAATTTAGATATTGTAGTATTTTTTATATAAAGTTTACTGTTTACATTGTTTAGTTGTGCTTAGAATTTTCTTCTATTTATAATAATATGCATTTTGCATTTCAATATTTACAGATGCCACGAAAAAAAGGTTGGTTCCGTGCTAAGAGAAAGGCAGAAGAGCAGAGAGCTGTGCAAGCCATTGGCAATTATGACCATGAGTACTGTTCATTACCAAAGAGATCCACTTGTGACTCAGAGCCTCATATATTGGATCATGATTATTATACAAAAGAGTCTGTTGACCTCAATGATACATCGGAGCTATTCTCTGTACATTCCCATGTTTATAGAAAGTCTGAGAATGGAGAAACTGATATGATATATGATGACACAGAAGTTGCTGAAACTGTGGATGTAACATTTGATCTTTTTGATAAAAATGTATTATAAAATTAAAAAAGGGTTGTTCAGAGTCATTTTATTAAAAACACAATGGGTATTCAATTCAAAATCTTAGATAAAAACAAAAAGTGCAATGAAACTAGTTTTTGTTTTTTAAAAAAAGCCCTTTAACAATTCTTTTATATTACATAACCTTTTTATTTTTCCAAAAGGGCAATTTTTTGTTTTTTAAAAGGAAAAATTTTGATGGAAACCCTTGATGTTTCGAACAAAAAAAATTTCAAAACCCCGGCCTAAAAACCTTCATTTTTGTGTTGGTAACCCTGAAGAACATTTTGTTAAGTTTTTTGCCAGAAAGAAGGGGGCAAGGGGAAAAGGGAAAGATGGTGGGGTTTTGTTTTTTTAAAACGGACGAGGTGCTAAGAAAAAAGAGGGAAATATATATTACTCAAAGTATAAGATCTTATTTGACTGTGATTTCATCCTTTACACAAAAGGTGAGAGATTTCTTCACTATAGCAGGACACGTGCTGTTTTAAGAGATCGGGAATATAGGAGAAAGGAGAAGGAATTAAGACCACAAAAATCATATTTACATTCTAAAAGTTCACATTCACAAATGGATAGGAATCAGTTATTGTTAAAACTCAATGAACAAAAAAATGTTATCAAAGATTTACAAAAGGAGAATGCAAGGCTCATGAGACAAGTAGATAAATATATTCGAGATGATGGGATTAAAATGGATAAAGAACGTTCATTAGAATTCTCTGACTTGATGTCATCTTGTGAAAGTGAGGTAATGAAAGCATTCCCGAATTCTAATTGTTTTCAAAGACTGTTTTGGGAGCAACAAATGAAGGAGGCAAAGAGTGGAAAGTGTGGGATGAGATGGCATCCTATGATTGTCCGATGGTGTTTATATTTACGACAAACATCCAACAAATGTTATGAAACCTTAAGAAAAAGTGGATTTTTAAAACTGCCCAGTTCCCGTACCCTTTTTGACTATAGCCACTATATCAAAAGTGTGAATGGATTTTCTCCTGAAGTTTTCCAAATGCTGAAAAATGAAGCCACTAAGAATGGAATGTACAAGGAAGAATGGAAATTGTGGGTTGGACTTTTGTTTGATGAGATTCATGTGAAAGCTGATTTAGTGTATGATAAACATTCTGGAGAGCTAGTTGGTTATGTGGACTTAGATTCTGTAGGAAATCAAATTCTACAAATGCAACACCAGTTAGAGCAGAGTCATCAAAATTTAGCGAAGTCAATGCTTGTGTTGATGGTAAGAGGATTGTGTGGGAATTTGACCTTTCCATTGGCAGGCTTTGCCACTGACAGTATTAAAGCTGATTTTCTTTACCCCATAGTTTGGAAGACCATATTGTATCTGGAACGCTTTGTAAAGCTGAAAGTGTTGTGCGTTACTTGTGATGGTGCCTCCCCAAACAGAAAATTTTTCAACTTGCACAAGGGAGATGATGACACTACATACTATTCAATTAACCCCCATGACAGGTATGAACAGCATTGTTTTCAACATTCTTTTTATTAAAACTTTCAAAAACATAAATGTACATGATGTGGTTTTTAAGTCATGCGGGGCTCACACTGGCTCAAATAAAATAATAGCTAAAAATTTTAACTTAATAATAGCCAAAAGTTCAGCGGACTATTCACGATTTAGCGATTGACAACATAAGCAGTTGATTAAATAAACATTACATAATTATAAAACTTGTTCAATTTTATAAGGATTCTCAAAAAAGACTGATACATTTGTGTAAATTAATAACTACCTTTTTTTTTTTTTAAATAGAACCACACTTTAAATTGTTATTATAGAACAGAATAAAAATGTTATATAGCAAAATTACTGTATATCAATAATATTAAAGTTACATTAAATAAATATGTTAAAATATTTTTGCCGGTGGCCTAAAAACCAAGCATTCTACAGTTTCATTAACCTTTTTAACAGTATCGTTGTAAATCTCATCAAATATTGTTCATAAATTAGGATTTTAAATGGAAAACCCCACGGCAACACTAAAGTTCGTGTACGAATTTTAACATGCAAATGAAGACTATAATCAGCTCGTGTATGCGCTACGTCACGGAGTTATAGTTGCTATCCGGAACACAGCAAATGTAATATTTTCTTGTGCAAACACACTTTTACCGTTTAAGCTTCACGGTGCACTAGGCCTGTGGTTCAGAAAAAATAATCATCTCATAAAACAGATTAAATTTGCATGAAAATATCCGTTACAATGTGGAAATATACCGTTAAATTAGGACTGCTACTTATAGTCATGTTTGTTGATTTAATATTGATGTACGGATGATCTGAAGGCGGAGTTTCTCATGCAAACAGAAATTGTAATTCCGAATTCGCCACAATGAGGTTGCACATTTGTATGCTCATTAAACTCATTTTGGTTGCCTGGACACCAAAATAAGATCTGGAGTCGATATGAAACCCAATTTATTAATGAAATGTCGCTATTTCTTTTTTTATGAAATTTATTTAATGTAACTTTAAAGATTCATTATGAAAGATGCATTATGAATTTACATAATGCTATTATCAGATAATTTCTTTTGTTTGTTCTAATCAAATTTTGTCATCTATAACCCGTCAATTTCCACATTTCACACTGAACTGGAGTAGATCTAGGTCATTTATGCCTATAGAAATAACACTTGCATTCACAGAATGCAGTCTTTTTTCTGAATAACTTACTGAAAAATGTCATCAAAACCAATGATATATAAATTTTCTGCCATATAAGTAAAGATTTTCAAACAGAACATAGCTTATTTTCACTATCAAAATTATCAATGTCACATGCATTTAAATAATAATGGTATCTATTTTCCTTTTACAGGTCAAGAAAGATATTCTTTATCTCGAATGTGCCACATCTATTAAAAACTACAAGAAACTGTATAAGTAACAGTTTCTGGCACAAAAACTCTAGACGACTATGGAAAGATGGGAAAGAAGCTGGCGGCATATAATAAGGCTGTATGAAGAACACTGTGAGAATAGTTTGTATACACCGTGCCCTAAAAATTAACCCACTCTCATGTACATCTCACAGCGTTCAGTGTCATGAAAGTAAATTTGGCTGCACACATTTTATCCAGCACAGTATCCAGTGCTCTTGAAATGTTGTATGGTAGTGCTGTGTCAGAGACAGTAAGTTTGATATCAAGTATGGACAAGTTTTTTGACTGTCTAAATGTAAGAATTTGTATGAGGGGAAAATGACAAGAAATGACAATTTAACCCCCTACACCTCATTTGACGACCCCCGCCTATTCTGGCTACAAGACAGTTTCTTAGGATATTTGAACGATTGGCAGAAATCAGTAATGGAACGTCCTGGAAACATACCACTAAGTGAGAAAAATAAAATGCTCTTGTCCATACAAACACGGATCGGATTGAACATCACAGTTAAGTCAATTGTCCAATGTATTAAAGTCTTACTAAACAGTGGTGCGCCATTCGTTCTTACTCATGCCTTTAATCAAGACCCTCTGGAGCAACATTTTGGCCACTACAGACATAAGGGTGGAGGTAACAATAACCCAACTGTATTCGAAGTGAGACACACTATAAATCAGCTTAGAACAGTAGGAGCAGAAGGGCTAGTTCCTAGAAATGGCAACATAACAATTGGCAAACAGGTGCAAAGAACAATTGACAACACTCCTTTGCCTCGGAGACGAGATAAGCACGAGTAATGTGTGCCATGGCTGCAGATGATTTTTCATGCAAAAAGTTGTTAACTTCTCGATTTTTTAAGCAATTAGTTATTCACTACCAGATTTCCAATTAAATTGTAGATTTTCTTTGTCAGAGAGTTTATGAATCATAAAGTTACAGTTGAGCAATAATATCCGCAATGAAAGGCTAAGTTTTCTATGAGTGTTACTTTAGTAATGTTAAGTCTGCTCTTATTCATGGTTGTTTAGGTTTTAGTATCAAACATTTGCTATTAATTTTATGCACAGTCTCATATTTTGATTTCTCTTTTTACAAAATTTAATATAAAAATATGCTGTTTATTTTTTGCTCAATTTTTTTAAAGGAAAGGAGATCTATCACTTTTAGTGCATGACAAAATTTTAGAACTGTTGAAAATAAAAATCAATTCATTTTTAACAAGAGCATTTGAAATTTAATTTGTTTTTGGTGAAAATCTTATCTTTTTAATTAATTATAAAACCATTTTATCTGGAGCTCTGAGTGTACTGTTCTATTCCAAACGTATTTTGATTGACAAAGTATGTATACACAATATAGTTACACAAACTATGCTTTCAATAACTTCTGTAAATACATAAAAGTGGCATACTTTTGATCTTAACATTGTTTATTTGCTTTTCTTTTTTTGGTTTGTGTTTTAAAAACCATTATCCATATTTTTATGTATTCATTTGAAATACTCTGAAATTAACCTTAAAAAAAGAATTAAATATGCACTAAAGTTGACACATTCAATGTGAAATTCGAGGTTGAATATTTGAAGAATATGAAGGAAATACATGCTAATATTGACACATTACGGTATATTTTTAAATGTTTGATTCAGTATAAATATCGATGTTGACTCTTTGAAAGAATAGGCAGACTCACCTTTGTGTCAATGTCGCTGGTTATGTTTTAGCTCAAAAACTACTGATGTGTTTTAAACACGCATAAGAACACAATAATTCAATTTATCTCTTCCAAGGCTTTTAACATAGTTATGACATTTTTTGGAATTTAGAAAATTGTTTATGTACATTACTCTTGTTTAACGAATAATTGAACATGCTGTCCTACTGACAGGTTTTGTGGAAAGTGAATAAAAAATCTTGTATTTGTATGTGTGCATTTTACGAATTGAACTGTAATGTGTCACATCAAAATTACTAGGGAATAGCCAGTTTTTCCCACCATCTAAATATGAATATTTTTATCATAAACGCCAAAGCTGCACCTTACAAAATCTATGCACTGCATGTTTTCGATTTTTCATTTTAGTTTAAAACAACTAAATAATTTGCAATTATTTGTGTCTTGGCGCCATGTCAAAATGATTATGTATATTTCTGTATATGTTTCGAACACGTAATATGATTAAAATGGCACATATATAAATCAGTTATTATTATTATTTATGATAAATCGTGGAAAAGTGAACATAATTGTCCTCTCATATCTAACAGTAAAGCACTGCACAACAATTAAAGGAATGATGTTTTGTTGTGCATGTTAATATCACAAAAGTCTGTTATCACATAGATATGATTCTTTTTTTTTTTTGAGAAAAAACATTTTGACAGTAATGTTATTTAAATTTTCAAATCCTTTACAAGTCAACAATGAGATGTGATGATTAATAGTCTTTGATAGGTTTTCCCATAGGAAATAAATTCTTTATATCATTGTATATATAATGGCAATAATCGTATTGTATTTCTTTTTTATGTCATATGTTCGGGCAGATATTTTCTCTTTCTTGATCAATCAACATATAAAGCATTTGCTGACATTCATGTACATACCATTTACTGTTTTAGATTTTCTGAATAAGTCTGTCATTATATATCATGTAAGACATTTTCTTTGATAAATAACAAGCTCATCCACCAATTCATGTTCATAAATAAATTAATATAAAAGTCAACTTATTAACGTTTAAAATAAATAATGTATAAGTCTGTGACAGAGGCAAACAGAAACATTTTGTTGACGTAAACAGTAGTTTTTTGTCATACATTTTACACTTATACAAACACATATTTGTCAAGTGATCATATAAAGTTCAAACAAATGAATATGTTTTTTATCACAAAAAATAAAGACATTTTTGGTATCCGCAACACAGACTTTCTAGTTAATAATCTAAGTTTGATGTTGTATTTCTTATCACTGAGATTAAATATTGAATATGGTTGTAATTAGTCTTTCCTTCTTCCACAAACATGGGGAAAATGCAAGTCTGTATCTGGCTATTATTATTTATAAGCATAATCATTATTAATATTGTTTTTTATATAAATAAAAAGTAAGAGAGACTGAGCAAACTTCACCATGAATGAGGTTGTTACTATCCTTTGATGTTTGTTGATGAATTGATAAAAAATAAAGGTAAAATTAAAATTGATTTTACACTGTATCAATAACTTAATCATATAGAGGTACTGTTATGTTTTATATGTTGTTTGTTTTATTTATTATTTTGTTTTATTTGAATTAAATAGTAAGCAGAAATATGTGTTTGTTTTACATGTTATTCAATTTAATCCTATTTCTAAAAGCATAAGCTGAAGTTTACCAATTAAGTGATTTATCAGAATTAATTGGTGAAAATTGGGCTTATTCATAATGTAGGTATCAATCCCGCCAGGGGTTTGGTTTGAGGAAGCTGAACAGATAGCTTACTAGAAAATCAAGTCTAACCAGATGCCCGCTTTAGCCTGATGCAGGGAAAGGGAACTAAGGTCTTCCTACACCAGTAAAGCAGGAATTTCGTCATATGACCTCTTGCATGGTGCCATATAAAACAACTAAAAATAAACAGAGCATACCTTTAGAAGAAGTGCCATTGTGCTGTCTTGAAACATGACCACGAAATCCAGATATCGTTTTCAAAGTTTTACTACAATGTGGGCACACATAACCTATCACTGACATAGCTAATTTACTTTCACTTTTCTCTGATTTTTCGGATTCAAACTCTGAATCAACTGTCATCTAAATAATAATCAGTATATTCCCCATCAAACAGCTCTGACAAATTTAAATCATCCCAAGATAGAAAATCTGAATTTGATTTTTTGGTTTTTACTTTTTAAGGAAGCCATAGTTACATGAACATTAACACATTTGAATTTGAAAATGAGCCTACAGAAAAGTTTTAGACGATTTATTGAAGGCATTATTACTCAAAAAAGGTGGGAATATGTTAATTGCTATGTTCTACTGCTAACTGGTAAACGTCTTTAAAATTAATGACGCACGTGTAACATTAAATAAATGCCGCATTCATTTCTACATATATATAGGTAATTAGAGCTCATTTAAGTATTATCAAATCGGCTTGATCTAAGAGTGTGCCCTTCATTGTGAAAAACATCGCAATTAAGAAAAAAAAATACAATCAAATCAAACAGTAATATAGCGCAATTATCGCCCCAAAGAATAATCAAAACAATTGGTTATAACTCAACACCCTTATATTAAAAAAACTTGAAATATGGATTTGATTTAAAAGGCAAATTGCAAATAAACAAATAAACAAAATATATTTATCATAATTAACATTTTATTCCTTTATTTGTTGATTTTTTATCGTAATTTACAATACGACGTCAATGTAAACATTGATTAACGGATATCGCCGAAGTTTAACGAGAGCGCGAAAATCGGAGACTAGCGGGGAAATCCGATAATTACCGAAGCGCGCAAAGGATTGTGGGTATAGATCGGACAGTTGTTTATTTTTCGGAGTTTCTAATCCGGTGCATATTTAAAGGCGGAGACGAAACTGACGCAAAAAACTATCGGGGTGTAACTTTAAATAATATAATAGCCAAAATATATTCTCAGGTACTTTTAAATAGGTTAACTAAATGGACTATACAATATGAGAAAATTGCTAATAATCAATTCGGATTTCAAAAAGGGAAAAGTACAGTCGATTGTGTTTTCATTTTGCTTTCTGTTATTTCAAAATTATTAAATTCTGGTAAAAAAGTATATAGTGTATTCATTGATTATGAAAAATGTTTTGATAAGATAAATAGATCATTTCTCTGGCAAAAGTTATTAAGTGAAAACGTTAGCTCTAGAAATGGTAAACGCAATAAAATCTAATGTATAGAACTGTTCGATTACGTATTAGGTTTAATAATAGACTCTCTGAGCCAATTCTCTCACACTTGGGCGTGAAACAGGGAGACCCGAGTTCTTCTTTGATGTTTATGATGTTCGTAAATGATTATTGTTGAACAATATAAATACTAATCTA